ACCTTTGTGGGGAAAACATGTATTCTATGTATGAAATATGTGTTATATGCAATGTATGGATTTGGGGTTGTTACACGGTTACTGGTGGTGGTGAAAGGGGAGGTGGTGATTGTGGCGGACGGCAGTGGCGGCGGCCTTGGACAGTGGTGGCCAGTGGTAGTGGTGAAGATGGTGGTGTGGAGGATGTAAATATGGTTGACAGAGGTAGGTCTGATGGTGGTGGTTATGGAGGTAGATGTGGTAGTTGTGGAGGAGGTGGTAGTGGTAGCTGGTGGTGGTGGAGGTGGTCGGTGTTGTACGAGAATGGCGACGGTAGTGGTGGAGGTGGTGGCTGTGACCATTAAGCCAAATACCATATTATGGTTATATCAAATGAGGGTAGATTGGTAATTTTTTAGTTCTGTCCCATCCTTGTCCATGTCATTGTCCCATGTCTCCCCAAACATGGAACAGTGAGCTTTTGTCCTGGCCTACGGCGCCTCAAATGTGGCACAGTGAGCTTTGACCTGTCCAGTCCAGTCCCATGTACCAAACGCAGCCTTAGGCTCTTCATAAGAAGTCAACTGTATGCTCGTTCCTAGTTTATAATGTTAGATGTTATCACTTGAATATGAGAAGTTCTATCCAGCACTAAAATATGTTACCAAAGAATCAAAGTATGTAATGCTAGACATAATTCTTTAAGTGATATCTTCCTGTCCTTTGTTATAAAGTTCAGTGTTGACACTGCTGGCACTTCTCTGTGTCTTTTTGGTTTTTTAAAATTTACTTCGTTAGAGTGATTATTATTGGCGTTGTAAGGCATCATATTTTATTATTGTTTTTGTATCTCTAGCACATTTAGTTTCTTTTTTTAAGGTGACATCTGTTTATTTTATGAATCATAACTACATTAGCCTATAAAAAGTGAAAGAGACAATGAGAAAGATGGGATGTCTATTACATAACTGTAGCCGGCTACAATGCCGGTATATTTAGTAGACCTGAATACCTAATCCATTTCTTTTATTATTTCAGTATCGCGATACAGTAAGGCAGTTCATCAAGGGTACAGATGGGTTTTCTGGTGCTTTTGCTGAATGCCTTTGTGGGAGCCCTAACTTATACCAGGTATCTCTTTCTTCTACTCCCTCTGGCTCAAAATGCTACTTCAGACTTTGTACATGTTATATCTGGGAAGTGGTTGTATACTTTCTTTTATTTTCTAGTAAAAGAAGGCATTCCAAAGGGATGAGGATGGCCCTATGGTCTAGCTGTCCGTTTATTTCTATTTGTATTCTACATATGGAAATGCATTTTGGGGTAAAAGAAGGGGAAATCTAGCAATTTTTCTGGCTGGGTGAAGAGGGGAGTTATCTTGACCTTTGTTAAGTTTCTGGACTCCTACTAGTCTTAGTTTTTTTCTTCTCCTTGGAGTTGTTGGTGCTGCCCTTTGTGATTCCTTGTTTGTTTTAACATCTCTCTCTCTCTCTCTCTCTCTCTCTCTCTATATATATATATATATATATATATATATCTCCCGTGTGTCCTTGCTGCCTTTTTTGTTCACTATACCTGTTGTTTGTTTGCACATACTCTGCTAGTTTTCTCATTTGCAGCTTGCTCTCTTGTTTCCTTTAAGTTTTGATTTACAAGTCGGGGGTCTTCATGGGAGAAGGCACTTTACCCCTTGGGGTAGAGGCAAGGTCTGCTTACATCCTCTCCCAGACCATAAATATGCATGGGATATATCATTTGCTTTTGATGCTCTCATGTCTTGTTTATTGTACATGTACGTCTTCTTTAACTATTTTGAGAAATTATTCTTGCTTGCATCATCTCAGAATATAGTGCTCTGGAAGTATCTTATAAACTCTATTCCACCACTTGGTTACATGTTCTGTATTACTTTTATTCGATATGATTTCTTTCATCTTATGCACCAGGAAGGTGGCAGGAAACCGTGGAACAGTATAAACTTCGTATGTGCTCATGATGGCTTTACGCTGGCTGACTTAGTTACGTACAATGACAAACATAACCTGGCAAATGGAGAAGATAACAAAGATGGAGAAAGTCACAACAATAGCTGGAATTGCGGACAGGTAAATTTGTTCCTACTATGTCGTACCTTAGCTTTTGCACAATGCTCTTCATACTTGCTGCTGGGTCCTTCAGCTTGTGCAGTCACTGGCATTGCTCGGCAATTTAGTTGATGCTTCTTTCACACAAACTTTGTGTTTTAGGATGTCATGACATGTGTGATATGCTACTGCATTTTTTGATATTTTGGTTTTATATGAAAACTGAACAGACACTTGCATTTCCTTGAAATAATGCAAAACAGTGGCTGTGGAATTTGGACAGCTGTCACATTATACATATATCTTTATTGCACAGTATGAGATTCTCCTTTTTGTTGTTTCACTGGTACTTGTAGCATCAAGTGAGTTCACATTCTTTCTGAATGATACAGGAAGGAGAGTTTGTGAGCATCTCAGTAAAGAGATTGAGGAAGCGGCAAATGAGAAACTTCTTCCTTTGTTTAATGGTTTCACAAGTAAGTTTTATGAACTTGAATGTTGATCGTTAGTACTAGCATACTGATACATATGTACCTCTGATAAAGTATCACTGCTTTCAAAGATTTGTGTTGTTTAGCTAAATCATGTGAACTAGGAATCCGTCATGCCAGAGTTTACCCCGTATATATACTTTGAAGGCAGGACTTCACGACATAGACCCACATAGCATATGGCATATAACATGCAACCAAGGGAAAACACAATCCTAATGAGAATCTTTTTAAATTTTTGTCAGATTAATAAAAAAAAGGGCATTCTTATAACTGGTAGACAGAAGTCCAAGTAACCATTGCAAATCTGAGCCATAAAAAGAGACATCTCATTTACGTAAAAGTGTCCTAGTCTACCAGCAATACAAAAAGATCCCAGCTTAGATCTAAATACCTTCTGTTTGCTATTATTCAAAACTCTCTTTATGCATAAAAAACATGCCTTTTATCCTAACTCATTTGGATGGAGCTAAAACTGAGACCCTTAAGATGTACACAAGTGCACCAATCCTAGGACTCGAATCATGGTTACCAAATCCTTCCAGCCTTCCCTATCTATGGCCAACTCCTTGGTAGGTTTGAATGTGAATCTCTCTTTTGACTTCTTGCCCTTGTGTTAATCCTGGCTCACTACTACCTCTCCTAACACCATCTTCTTGGATGAGGTCTCCCTTTCTCAATAAAATATCCAAAGCTTTGAAATAACCTAACCATCTTCATTGATCAGTGTCTCAATCTCCTCACTTGATTCATCCTATTCTACTCATGGATGTGCTTATTTCTAATTATACCCTTCTTTGTATAATTACATCACAACTGTGGAGTTCACATTTTTGCTGTACTTGTCTTTACTTTATGTAATACTTCAATTTTAGTGGAATTTTATAGTTTCAAATGTTCTGATGCATGTTGCCACACCGTCTACCCTGCTCTTATCCTATGGCTAGCAACATCATCAATCTCTAACCTAAAAGTATGTCTTATTCAAGATAGTGAAAAATATCTTCTTACATACCTCTTATTCAAACATGCTTACTACATCTTTCGCTAGAACTGCTAAAACGTTGCACCTTGGGAGTTTTGTTTCAATTTAGCTTGATTTGCATCTTTTAAAATCCCTCAAAGAAAACCATAGACACCCAATATGTTCTACTCAAAAGCAGAGGCGGAGCCAGAAAAATCAACGAGGGTGATCCTTTGAAATAAGGGCAAAATGCATTAAAATGCAACAAAATTTGGTTTAGTTCCTATTAGCACAATAAATATTTTTCTTTCAAAATTTTCTATTTTGTACCCATTTAACAGGTAACTTGCTGATTTTGTTATATTATTGAACTTTGCTCAAAATTTGGAGTGAATTACACTTTTGATCAAATTATATGAATCACAATTAGTTTTAGAGTGAATTACACTTTTGGTCCCTGTACTTTGCCCAAAGACTGATTTATCCTTCCTAACGGTTGCTAACTGACGGTGTTAACTCCAGGGACCTCGAGTATTATGAAATTGAAAAGTTAGGGACCATCAATGTAGATAGTTTGTCTTAGGGACCAAATTCAAAATGTGAGCATCCCACAGGACCACCAGTGTAATTCACATACATTGATTATGAAAGTTTGTTATATTAATAGACAATGTTGAAACTTCAGAAAATATATTATTTGTCATATTGAATAGAAACCAGGACAAACTTTATTGAATTTTAATACATTTCCCCCTTTAAATACATAAAACTGCTATATTGATAGCAAAAAGTAAAAAAGCCAATTTCACAAACTATAGGGGTCACGGACCGACCATAGAACCCTGTTCAATAAGTGGAACGCATTAGTTGTCCGCTGTCAGGTTGGGCAGTAAGGGTCGGAGAAGGGCAATCACTCATTCTTAAAAGCAACATTCTTAAGGCAAAAGAGTTGGGCCTCCTTGCGGTTAAGGTAACGACTTAGGGCATGGCCAACTCCCGTAAAAAGGGGGATCCTATCAACTTGTTCCGACCTGAGACGATAAGCTCATGAGCTTGGTGCTCTTAGCATAGGATTGCTATTGATAAGTTTTATTAAATAAAATTTATAATAAAGAGGGTGGGCCTTACAAAGGAGAGTATGGCTCTTATTAGAACAAACAAATCTGGGCTTTATACACACGATCCTTTTTTGGAATTTCATGGTGGGCCCAGGATCACCCTTGGCCAGTGCTCAGAAGTTGGGTCTGGAGGTGTGTTAGTCCCGAAGGGAAAGACAATAAACAGAAAGTAATTGTAGAAGGGAGGGTTGAATACAATTACTCGGACTTTTTTCAACTTTTTAATTCTTATTGATTTATATCAAGAAATTAATACACACAGAAATACAAAATATTGTTGCGGAAGATAGGAAAGGAAAACCTAACCTAAACAATCTTATAAGGAGAAGAACTTTCAAGAGCAACGCAAAGAGTTCTTGAAAGGAAATGAAGAACACTAAGAATTTCTTCGCACACAGGAGAGCAAAGGAGTAGAAGAGAATAGCCGATTGCTTTGATAATGCACTAAGTAATCTTTCAAAAGCCAGTTCTATGCATGGGAGATGCACACTGCCTTTTTATACTACCTTCAGCATTTAATGCATGAGGACACTTGTCACTTGAGGATAAGAAGGCAGGGATTGACTTGACCAATGTTGATATCTCATTTTCATCGTACACA